GAGATACGAGATCTCGTTTCAAAATTGAAATATGAATGTTTCATTTTGTGTGAGATTGAAAAATCTGTTTTTGCCGATCTTTCATTTTCTTAAAACAAATTGAGTAAAATGTGCAGAGTATATGGAATACTAACGCTAGCGTTTACTACAATCGATTTTGAAACACTAGACGGTCGCCTAGCGCCCAAAGAGTTAATTGAACTATGCGTTTGATATATATATATATATATATATATATATATATATATATATATAATATTTAAAAAGAACTCAGGCATCTGGCAAAACCGAGCAGATATACATGGCAGTGCTCCCACACAATGCATAAGCACGCTAAGCGGTTGTAAATCTAGTTTGACTAGCTCCGGTCAAACGTTAATGGAACGAATGATCATAGCCAGAGGCTTTTTGCCCACAGTATATAATACTATGGGAGCGCACTTAGTTACTGCGAAAATTTGTCGAGTAACCACAACATTTAGTTTGTGACTAGCTCCGGTCAAACGTTAATGAAACGAATAATTATTGCCAGAGGCTTATTGCCCACAGTATATTATACTATGGGAGCGCTCTTAGTTACTGCGAGAATTTGTCGGGTAACCACAACATTTAGTTTGCGACTAGCTCTGGTCAAACGTTAGTGAAACGAATTATCATTGTCAGAGGCTTTTTCCGCACAGTATGTTATACTATGGGGGTGCACTTGGTTTCTGCGAGAATTTGTCGAGTAACCACAACATTTAGTTTGCGACTAGCTCCGGTCAAACGTTTATGAAACGACTGATCATTGCCAGAGGTTTTTCTTGCCAAAATCAATTATTTTGTTAAGACAAGCAGAAAGTTCTTTGAATCATTTAAATCGGACGCTTAGTTCTCTCAAAAACTGCCATTTTTTGCACGTTTAGCTCTGTATCTCCGAAACCGCTGGACCTGCTTTTGCCAAACAATCACCACTTCTCCCCGTCATTACGAATTGAATGTTGTTTGGATCAGTCAAATCCGATGCTCCGGTCTCTCAAAAACTCGATTTCTTTTTTCTGCATTCTTTGCTTCGTATCTCCAAAATGGCTGGACCTGCCTTTGCCAAAAACTAATCAGCACATTTCCCTATTAATAGGAATCAAATGTTTTTTGAACCATTCAAACCGGTTGATCCGTACGCCCGAAAACGTGGACAAAAAATTGTATCCATACATACATACACACACACACACGATTCTAGATCCTCCCCCCACGAAGTAATGCCTAACGGCGGTTTCCGTGGGGACCAGAGGCAAGGGCAAAGCGGAGGTTTTAGTCGGTATTATACCAGGGCGGTATCGAGTCCGACATGCCCAGACAAAAGACCGGTCTGGGATACATCAAGGCATTTCCTTCGCTATACAAAAAAAACACACACACACACATCCATGAGGTATGCCAAAATGTTCAGAAACCTTCAAAACGTCGAGAAATGTAAAAATTTTCAATTTCGATTTTCGGCCCATTACAATAACTTACCCTGCGGGAAGTTAAAAATTGGGTTCTATGTATTCTTTAATGCTAAATTATGTAACTAGTACTATATATTTTTTCGCTCATACTATGTAGCGACAATAATATCTCATTAAACACTTGAGAATGTTTACATTACATTACATGCCGAATGAATCTAACTGAGGATATATTCCTTACTATTAGAACAACGCAGATGAAATATATACATTTTTAAAAAGAATTGTAAATTTGAAATTTATATTTAAAGTATAAAATTGTGTATATTTTTGAAAATTCAGAAAAATATTTTTTCTAAAAATTTTGATATGTGTTTTACAGTACAAGGTAACATTAAAAATAAAAAATCTGGGTACGTAATTCAGAAAAATTGTAACAAAATTAGTACTCATTTTTATAATTTTTACAAAATATCTGATAAATTTATTATCTATTTGAAAGAAACTATTTCTTAACACTTTTAGACTAGAATTCCCGCTTGATGAATATCTCTTTAAATTATACTATTTATTCCATTTCAATTTTAGGGATGCATTTCAATAACAAGTAATTTCAAGTTTACATAACTTTGATATAATTGTTAACAACCGGGTATTATATACATATTTAAGTTGATTGCTAAAAATAATAATTTAGTTAATTGTTATTTTCCTGAATGAGAAGTTTGTTTTCGCCAGAATATCCGATCCTTTAATTTTATTTTTTCTCCACGTATTAAATCACTCTGAAGCATTTGAGACCAACATTGAATAAACTGTGAACTATGAAATCATGTGTGAGCCGATTATGCAAACTTTTGTCCACGTGTTCTCAAAAACAGCTGCACTAATTTCAAAAATTTCAAAACCAATCAATGTAGCTCGATAAAGAAAAAAAATCGGACCACGTTATTAAAATATTGGTTGGGAATCCTAATGATTAATAACTTCGCGTAGGGTAAGTTATAGTAATCGCAAAAAAATCGAGAATGAAAACTTGTACATATCTTTACGTTTTAAAGGTTTCTGAAAATTTTGGCATACCTTAGAAAAAATGAATGTTTGTATGTGTGTGTGTTTTTTATGTCAAAGTAAATGCATTTATGCATCACAAACCAGTCTCTTGTGTGGGTATGCCGGACTCAATACCGTCTGGTTCTAATACCGACTAAAACCTCATCTTTGCCCTTGCCCCTGGTTCCTACGGAAACCGCCGTTAAGCATGCTGGTACATAAGCAAATGCAAACTAATTTGACACATGCTGGAATCTTCAGTCTCAAAATGTCACCATACATGATATTTCACAGCAACGGGCTTAGAACAGAGTCCTGCGGCACACCTCCTGTTATATTCTTCTGTGCCATCGCGTGATTTGAACATCAGAATTTTGTCTGTAAAGTAGCTTGCGACTATATTTCAGAAGTATACTGGCACGTTCTTGTCTCGGAGTGCATTTATAATGTAATCCCAGTTTGTGGAATTAAATGCATTTTTGATATCTAATGTAGCAACTAGACAAAACTTCTTTGCACCACCCATCCATCTAGTTGCCGCAATTGCATCCTTGGCAGTATTAACTACCAAATTTATACCATCGATAGTTCATCGCACTTTGCGAAAACCATACTGATTATGTGCTAGGAGTCGGTCAACTACTGCATCTGTTCTTAGGTGAATCATTCTTTCAGAAATTTTACGCATTGTATCCAGCATGCATATAGGACGGTAGGATTATGGTTCAACAGGTGGTTTTCTTCTTTTGGAACAACTAATCTTTGCTGTTTCCATTTTCTTAGAAAAACCCCTCCTTTCAGACATGTATTATAGCCATTAAAAAACATTGTCGGAGATGTCATAATTGATATTTATAAGGTGATATAATCCATCTACAGATTCATTACAGAAATTTTATTAATAACTAGTTGGTATTCGTATTTTGCCTTGAGGCAAGTTACATGAACTTCCCGATATGTGTATATAATCGACTTAATCACTAAAAAATAAATTAAATTATGAGTGATTATAAGTATTCCTAATGAATTTATTACACATAATTAAAAACGAACGAACACATTAACTCGGAGTATTTTCAAAAATCAATAAATTTTATAATTGAACTAGTTTCCGTAGGTCGTTAATGGTTTAGTATGTTCATTAAGACCAAGTACTCTATCGTTATACCAAGTAAATAGTATAATTATAATTTTAACAAACGTCAAAAACAATAATCATTTTCTCAAACTTTGATTAGCTTCTAAAATTAAACTACTTGGTGTAAGGCCGTAATATTTCAGTAAGTTCTATAAGACTATGATATATATCGCCAGAATAAGTTCCATTTAACACTTTTTTTTTCAAATTACAAAGAAATTGCTCGGAAGATCGTCTCACAAAACTGACAACCGATAGTCCTCATTGAGATACTTCAAATGGCTTTTAAATTTCTGAAATCGGTTCAGGCGTTTTTGAGAAAACGTCGATCAAAGGTCTATTTTTAACAAATGTCAAAAAAACTACTAATTTTTGCAAATTTTGAAGAATTTTTAAAATTAAACCATTTGTCGTAGGGCCGTAATATTTTAGTATGATCTACAAGACTATGATATCTACCTCAAAAAAAAATTGTCGATTTTTTTTTTTAAACTTTATTACAAGAAAACGGCCCGGCCGATCTTTACCAAAAATCAGCACAATTTCCAACCAATATCTATAGAACGGTTTTGAATTTTCAAAATCGATTCAGAATTGCGGGCTAAAAGGTGGACGAAAATTGTTCCACTTTTCGTGATTTACAAAGAAACGGCCCGGCCGATTGTCGCACAAAACTCAAAAACGCTAGTCCTCATCAAGATACATCGAATGGCTTTTAAATTTTTGAAATCGGCCTAGCCGTTTTGGAGAAAACGTCGATTTACGGCAAAAAATCTGTTCACACACACATACTTTTTTCCAAATTTGAACTCATTTGATTCAGAATGACTTGAAACGTCGAGAAAACATAAAATTAGCGAGACGGATTTTTTGATGAAAACATAAACTTCTGCTTCGGGAAGTTAAATATAAATTATAATTACATTTCAATAAATTCCGTGCCAATTATTATCCGTTAGACGGCGATCGCTTTAAAAAAAAGTTTAAATTTTTCAAAATATTTAAATTATAAAAAAATCATTTTTCTCAAAAAAGTAATTTTTTTCAAAATTCTCAAAAATCAAATTTTGTCAAAGCTGTAAAAAAATTAACCTTTTTTATAAATTTTATTTTAAGCACGGGAAGTTTCAGCATCTTACCATAAGACACAATGTCATACACTGCAAGTTTATATCGTTGTACCACAACAAAAATTCTTAACAGCTGTCATTCGAAGCGCCACACCCCACCATTTTCACGCGAGAGCTAAAATCGCACAGAACACGTAGCAGTAATAGCGACTCGATGTTTACCGACTCGCAGAGGGGTTCGGCTCGGGATGAAAATGAAACGTTCACGCAGTGTCCATGAAATCAGTTCACTGCGGGCATCTCATGCGGACGGTAGTACGTGTGAGCTAATCAAGCGAATTATTTTCTTCGGCTTCGACCATATTGTTGTGAGTGGCCATCGATTATATTTTATCTAATACAGAGTAGGTAAATTCATGTGTTTATTTTCTATTTATTTCAATATATGGGATATATAAATAATGCGCACGACAAGTATTAATCATGCATTATTATTAAGTGTATAATGTATTTTTTTTTGTTTTATCTTGCTTTAGTTATGCTATGTTATAATAAAAGCTTATAAATTGCGTGAGTGTAAAATTTACCTTTATATTGCGTTTTAGCCTTTCATAAATTCATTTAAATTGATGTTGACGCCCATTGTCATGTATATGTAGTTTTTGTAGTATATCATTGTTATCCGTAAATATACAGTAAAATCTTTTTATAGCAAATAAAATAAATTATTGTGTTCAAAATAGAGTGTTCAGTATATGATACGAAGGCTTATGATATTTTCTTGCACACAAAGTTATACATAAATTGGATTTGAAGTACCTTCATAAAGAAGGCAAATTGTTCTAAATATTTGCAAACTTTCGTGTCATTTCCGAAAACATTGTGTCAATATTTTAATCTCTTCGTTTTTTACTACATATGAATATAAAATGAAAAACACACTCACACACATCCACATACATAGGGGAGTAAGGGGTTGGTTGAAATAGTTTTTTTTTAAAAACCTAACATATCTTGAAATTCACTGATTTTATTTCAATAAAATAAAAATAAGTAGTTGCTGTAACTATTCCTCTACCAAATCAATTGAAAAGAATTCCATAACTGTTGTTCATTATTTTACAATTAATAATTTTCTATAAAAAGTGCGGTGTATCAACTTACATAGTGTTTGGGGCTAGTTGAAAGGTCTTGTATGGTGGCAAGTAGTAACGACAAAAAGACGACAATAATGCCTCTGATAATTTATTCTTCATTTATTTTAAGGAAATTTGACTTGTGTTTAAGTAATATTATCATAATATTAATATATATATCATAAATCAACGTAAACTACGATCAATTATTATCATAATACAAACAAAAGATAGTCTCCTGAAACACAATTTACATTTGAACACACCTCACAAACTATAAATTCCACTAAATATGTTTCACTTAATCTGTATATGATTCTTGTATGATACAACTAGCCCCCTAGACAATATCAGAATATGTTTATATATATATATTACTAGCTGACCCGGCAAACGTTGTTTTGCTAAATAAGGTATATTCTAAACCATTTCTAGAGAATCAAAAATATTAATACTTTAAGTGCATAAGGATGTGTTGTTTGAATGCTGCATACAATTAGGTATTATGAAAACAATAAACCCCATTAGTTTGTCTATATTTTGTCAATACAATCAAACTGCAAGCTTTAAACACTTTCTATAGAAAACATCGTATAATTCAATCCGAGTCTTTTTTGGTCTTTCGGCTTATTAATTACGTTTCAAGTTTTTCAAATTCTTTTTGGATTCTGGAATTTGTGTATAATTGTAAATAATACTACTGAGTTTATACAAAATTTTCAAATTTTTGCGAGGAGTATTTCTTCTTTGACCTGCTTTTTGAAAAGTTTCAAGTTACATTCAATGAATTAAAGTAAATTTAATAAAAAGTATATATGTAGAGCAGGGGAGACACAAAGGTCCAATTTGACTTTGAGCAAATATAAACTATATTGTGAAAACCATAACAATTATATCACAACAAATAAGACATATCAAACGAACAATTTTCTGACTACGTTCAGTAAACTGACTTCTACTTCATCATTGTAGAAATGTGCTTTTTTGATGTCTTCAAAAATTTGTTATCTTATTATCCTATATGCGGGGTAACTTATAACGGGCAGGTGGCAAAAGGTTTAAAGCCTTATTATAATTTTAAAGGTATTTTACAAAATAATTACATTTTTAACTAATGCTAAAACTACCAACGGAAGAAAATACTTTTATTATGGATTTTCAAAGATTACCGTTTATCTTCCCCATTTCAAAGATTATCGTTTTCAAATCAAGTTTGTAGCTGGCTATACATCTTTTTTCCTCTACTTTCAAATATTGTCGTTAAACAATGCTTAACTTTACTGATTTTTGGCACATCGGTGATGGACCTTTTTAATCCCGAACCTTCATATATTACTATCTATTCTGCGATAAATTCTGGGAAATTATAACTGGAAAAATGTTATTCGACAAAATGTCCATTTCGTCGATACCAAATTTAGGTTCTGAATTCAAATAAGATAAATAAAAAATAATATAATCTAGAAAATGTTTTATAAATACCAATCAGTATATAATTATAAAAATGAGATCTTTCAGAGCACCGTGTTTGAGAAAAATATGCAAAAAAGTGCATTTTCATATTAACATATCAAAATAGTTTATATTTTGAGTCTCTAGTAACACTTGCGGCCCGTTTACTAACGTTTTTGTATATAAATAGAACTACAAACAAAACTAGTTACTACAAATTTATCATAAATAAATAATATTCGCGTAAAACATCCTATTAAACGTAATTGAACATCATCTGTCAAAAGCGTTTGACATTTCACGAAATTGTCGCCGTCCATTGTTTTATTTAAATTACGCTTCTGCAAAAATTTTGAAATTAAAAATGTAAAGTTTCTACGCGGATTTGAAATAATTTCTCACCTTTTCGACTTTCTCTGGATTGGCACGAATTTTTCAAGACTAAGACTGGCCAAATCGATTCAGCCGTTTTCGAGTTTTATTCGGACATTTGAAAGAGAGCTCCATTTTTATATATAAGATATATATACATATTATATGTATATTATATATATATATATATATATATATATATATATATAAATGCAATAATAACAAAAATATACTAAATAATTACGTATTATAATAAACTACCTGTACCCGAACTCGCGTTGCTGTGTTACACATATAAATGAATATCTTAACAAAAATGCGGTTCTGTTATATCTAACTTGGATGGATGGAAACTCCATCTTTTCACAACTATTAAGATGGAAAATAGCGCTAGTATCTTGTGTGACTGATTGTTGTTGTGTTGACCTTTATTAGATGCATCGTCGAGAGAAATATTTCATTAAGCATTGCATTATATTAGCTTATAAGAATATAAGCATTTTACATAATACACTGTAAGAACAGGACTAAACAACATACATTACAGCAATTTATAACACATATCAGACAACCAATTAACGACGTAATATTATTGCTAAATATAGAAATATGGTTTTTACTATTTTTACTAAAAATAAAATATCTGTCTTCATTTAGCCTTCAGGGGAAAACACATCCAATGTCTCATTATTAATTATAAGTCTTTTTATTCTAAATAAATGCTGCATTATTTATCCTATGGCAAATACTAATTTCATGGGCACATTTTTACGAAGATTATACGTAAATAATTATTTATACAAAAAATACAAAAATGAAAATTGGTCCAAAATTTGAGAAAAAATTAGTAGTGGCCAATCAGTGGTGGCTTTATACTTAGATTAAATGAAAAAAATGACGAATACCTGTCCGGCGATATACTTAATAGTTTACCAAAATCCATAAAGGAAAGACAGACAGACAAACATAGTTATATATATATATATATATATATATATATATATATACTACAAAATCATATATATATATATATATATATATATATATATATATATATATATATATATATATGAGTGAGTTCTTGAGGGCGATACATCAAACAAAGAAAAGCCAAAGATTTATAAAATAATCTTTATTTCCAAACGTTTCGACATTCAATTTAATGTCATCATCAGTGGATCTAAAAACAGTATGAAAATTAGTATATCTAGGTAATTATAATATATGTGGATTGGTAAAGTAACTATACAATAAGAGAAAAATTAACAACCAGCAACACTTAATAACAGACCAAATATAAAAGATAGGAAAGGTAGTAGAGACTAGAATTAAATAAATAATTAAAAAGTATAGGCAAAAATATTTAAGTACACTCATATAAACCTACGCATATATACATATATATACGTACACATATACACACATATATATATATATATATATATATATATATATATATATATATATATACATGCATATATCCATATACACACACATGTAAACATATAATACACATATACATATACAGATACAACAATATATACATATATATGTACACATATACATGTACGACTATACATATATAAATATACGTATATACATATATGCAACGTGCATGCATATTCACAACGACGTACATGTACATGTATGAACCATACATATACTCATACCTATCTATGTAACTATAGCTATACACGTATACACATATATATATACGCATAAACATGTATATATACATATATACACACATATATATATACATATATATATATATATATATACAGTTATAGTTATAGTTATCACAGAGTAAGGAGGAATCCGATCTTTTGTTCACCACGTGATCACATATTGATATGAAACAAGATTCTGCAAAACGTCTCTGAATGGTGTTCCGTTCATGGTAGAGAATACTGGCATTATAAAAGTTAAAGGAGTGTTTGAAATTTTTTATGTGTTCTGTTATCATAGTTTGGTTTTGGTTGGGGTTTTTCGAATTATTGTCGTGTTGTTTGAGTCTTTTTATTAAATTTTGTCCGGTTTCACCTATGTAAGTAGAAGGGCAATCATTGCAATTTATTTTGTAGACAATGTTGGAAGTACGTTCTATACTAGTGGGAGATTTCAGGTTTGTGTAGAGGGATTTAAGAGTTAGATCTATGTTGCAGGTTAGTCTGATGTCTACCTTATGAAAAAGTTTTTTCCACACTGGAAAACTGGATTCCTCCTTACTCTGCGATAACTACCAAGTAATACTAAATAATGTTTCCAAATTTATTTCCTCTGAACAAAACTAATTGACCTTACTAACCTTGCCAACACTTCCTAGTTTAATTTCGGCCTTGATACCCGAGCTTTACCTACCCATACATAGCAAATTTTGAATAAACTTTAAAAATTTTTTATTTTAGATTTTTGAGTTATTAGTATAACTACTTAGTAATACT